GGTACATTGTGTTCACTGGAAGAGAAGTCAGCCAGGATAATTCTAGCTTTAAAGTAGAACGTCTTGGGGCGCCTGGCTGGCTCAGTCGGAGGAGCATGTGACTCTTGATCTCGGGGCTGTGCGTTGGAGCCCCACGTTGGGTGTGGAGATTACTTAAAAATAAAAAAAGTAAAGTAGAATGTCTTTTTGGACATTTATTTCACCTAGCTTGCTTCTCTCCCTCCCCCCTCTCCTTAGTCCTACCCCCACCCCCGTTTCTCTTTCTTGTCCTTGTAGACTTGGCCAGTCCCCTTGATATGAGAACCTCCTAACACCTGTAGCGCATGCTAGACACAGTCATCAAAACAACAAGTTTTTTTTTTAAATACAGATTTTATTTATTTGTCAGAGAGAGAGAGCAGTAGCAGGGGGAATGGCAGAGGGAGAGGGAGAAGCAGACTCCCCTGCTGAGCAAGGAGCCCCATGCAGGACTCGATCCCAGGACCCGAGCTGAAGGCAGACGCTTAACCCACTGAGCCGCCCAGGCGTCCCAAAACAAGTTTTTTGACAGGTATTTTATTTTTGGTCAAACAAAGCAAATTGCTAGCAGTAATTGCATTCTGAAAAACTATGAATGACTTCCATGGGATTTGATGATTAAGATAGCCCCAACCAACCCCATGAGGCATTTTTGTCCCATACAGTCATGACCATCATTCGGGAGCAAATGGGTGGCTGTGGATGGCCACTAGAACCCAGGGGATTTGAATGAATCTCTAGTGCCAGTGTATTTTCTGCCTTTTCTCGTGAAGCCGTGATGTCATGTTCCCCATGAGCGGAAGTACTCCTGATATCGTTGCTAGTTTCCTGTCGTGCATGGGTGCAGGCTGACCAAGAGTGTGGGACTGGCTGGTGGAGTGGGCTGAGGGTGCTTCTCATGGAAGTTTCCCGATGGTGTGTAGGACACAGTGGGGAGAGTGAGGGGTGGGGCGGTGCCTGAGCTTCCACCTAACCTGGGACTAAATAAGCATCTCTCATTCGATGCAGAGCCGAAGCCAGGGAGAAAGTGGCCCAGAAGGGGACCCTTCCTCTCCACAGCCCACTCCACCATGTGCCAGGTCTGTCCAGCAGCCAGGCTGACAAGTGGGTCTTCTTTGCTTGGCTGTGAGCTGCCCAAGGAGGAGGAGCCTGTGAGCCTGTCTTGTTGATGACGGGCCCTCAGCCCCAAGCTGAGCAGGCTCAGTCAGGGTGGGTTAAAGCAATGAGCAAAGGACTTAATCGGTGAGTGAACGATTAAACCCAAGGACCTTTTTTTTTTTTTTTTAAAGATTTTATTTATTTATTTGAGAGAGAGAGCACACAAGCAGGGGGAGCGGCAGGCAGAGGGAGAGGGAGAAGCAGACTCCCTGCTGAGCAGGGAGCCCCATGTGGGGCTCAATCACAGGACCCTGAGATCATGACCTGAGCGGAAGGCAGACGCTTAAATGACTGAGCCACCCAGGCGCCCCACCCTGCAGAAAAATGAAACCCGAGGAACTTTAGGGATTAGCTCTTGTGGGAACATCTACATGTTCTAAGAAAGTTCTTGGAGGTGAAAACAATGAAAAAGGATGAATTTCCTCCAGGCTGCTATAGGGAGCCATCTGGGCTTCCCGGTGAGAATCCTGTTGTCATTTTAAGCTGTTATTTGGGGGAAAAACATGTTTTGGGAAACCCAATAATTGATCATCATTTATCAGAGTTTTAGAAATATAAAGTCAGTATGTTTTAAGGGAGTTCTGCTTTGTTCCAGGACTCTAAGACCTCTGTAAATGTTAGTGCATTTCAGAAATACAACTGAACTGTTTTCTATGGTGGGTGGGCTGGGGAGGGTGGCTGGAGAAGCCGTCCTGTAAGGACAGCATGTTTGCTCAGCTTCTCATTTGCAAAATCCAGTGAGGACAGGGCTCCCTCGGGGCTGCTGCAGCTGTTTCTTACCCTGTACTCTTGTCCTTACTGTTTGTTCTTATAAGTAACATGACTTTGCTTTTCCACTTTTTATCCCTTTCTCGGGCCATTTTCTTCTCCTCCTCCTCCCCCTCCTCCTCTTCTTCTTTTCTTCTTCTTCTTCTTCTTCTTCTTCTTCTTCTTCAAGATTTTATTTATTTATTTGACAGAGAGAGAGACACAGCGAGAGAGGGAACACAAGCAGGGGGAGTGGGAGAGGGAGAAGCAGGCTTCCCGCAGAGCAGGGAGCCCGATGTGGGGCTCGATCCCAGGACCCTGGGATCATGACCTGAGCCGAAGGCAGACACTTAACGACTGAGCCACCCAGGCACCCCTAGGGCCATTTTCTTCTAATAATAATGCAATCATATAACAGAAAGAACCATTTATCGAGTTTCTACTTGGGGCTGGCTCTGGATCTGGGGCTTTGCGGTCTGTGTACTCAGTGGGGACAGCCCACCAGGAGCCGGGGTGTCACCCATGCTTGTGACCCACACAACCTGCCCCCCACCCCCCGCCCCATACCTCCAGAGTCAGAATCTGCAATTCAGCAAGATCATTTTAGAGTTGGAGAAGCCCTGCCTTCCATCAGTTCTCTCATGGAATTCTGATCCAACAAGAGGGGTGCAGATACTTGCACCTTCCAGCTGAGCAAATCACATCCGATTTCGGTTAAGTAACTGTTCTTGCTCCATGGGGCAGCCCCATCTCTGGGGGGTCACTGTGGGCTCCCACCTGTCCTGCAGTGTGCTGCATGCCTTTCCAGGACAAAGCCATCTCCCCAGAGTCCCACTGTGACCACATCTACTCACCTGCTCTGTGGATCCTCATGGCTTCTCCAGTGAAGTTCAGAATCCCTAGTCTGGAAGCCAAGGCCCTCCTAGTCAGCCCCCCTGCTGTCCAGCCCTTTCTTCTAGTTGCCAAAGCGTGGGGACCTTCCCCTCAAGGAGGACGAATCTCTCTTCCTCCATCATGCCCTGTACCTTCTGGCATCTCCCTGGGAGGAAGGGTGTGAGGAGTCCTGAAGCCATGTGCACGCAGGCCTTTTCTAGGTCAGGTGAGTTGTCTGTCTTAGGGATGTGGGCGGGGGCGCCTGGGTGGCATCCGACTCTGGGTTTCAGCTCAGGTCATGATCTCAGGGTCATGAGATCAAGCCCCACATCTGGCTCCATGCTCAGCAGGGAGTCTGCTTGGGATTCTCTCTCTCCCTCTGCCTGACCTCCACTGTCTCTCTCAAATAAAAATAAATAAATACAATTTTTTAAAAAAAGGGTGGGATGTGGGTGGGTCAGCTGCAGGTGCTGGGGGATGTTGTCCTATCACCCCCTTGGCCCACTGTGTTGAAATCAAGGCTCAGCCTGGCTACCTGCTTTGGGATGTCTGTTTGGGATGTCTGCTCACACTGGGGCCCTGTCTGGCTCCCTTTCCAGCTCTGCTGTAGGCTTCGTCATGGTGCACACACGGTCCCACCTCTGGGGCAGGTGTTTGCGAGGCTGTCCGCTCCTTTCCAGATTGCAGCAATGGGACGCACGCCCTGCCCCACTAGGTGTGTCTGAGCAGCACCTGGCACAGGCTCAAAGAGGAAAAAATGGACTCACTGCTTATCCACAGAGGATGATCATAAAGAGCTCTCGTTTTAGGGGCGCCTGGTTGGCTCAGTCAGCTAAGTGTCTGACTCTTAATTTAGATGCAGGTCATGATCTCAGGGTCATGAGATTGAGCCCCGTGTTGGGCTCTGCACTGAAGGTGGGGGCTGCTTAAGATTCTCTCCTTCTGCCCCTTCCCTGCTTGTGCTCTCTAAAAAAATATGGCATATTAATAGAAAATTTGAGGTCTAGTAAGGCCAACAGATCGAGACAATTGCCATGGAAAAGATAGTTTATTACTCACCATTCCCAAGAGAAGGGGCATATCATACCATGGGGGGGGGGCACATGGGGACGTACCAGGGTTGGTCAGGAGGTCGGGGGAGGGGATGCGGTCAGAAGCCTTTATTGTGGTTTTCATGGATGGAACAGGCCAGGCAGGATAGATGGTCTGAATAATTTCAGCAGGCTCTGGGGTATAAAGGCTGTCTCTACCTCTCTGGCACCTCGCCCTGGGACAGTTAGGACTGGTGGAAGGTAGCCCAGAGTGTGACAGCCCTGGAAAGGTGGTGTTTAAGGGGGTGGTGTGTCCTCTGGATTGGTTGGTTTGCATTTGAAAAGCATGTTTGGGGGTGAGCTGTCTCTAGGAATTGGCTGACCCTGGGAGGGGCAGTCCCTCCAGCGTCAGCAAGGCCCCGGATGTCAAAGCACCAGAATACAGAAAGTAAAAGATAGGGTTTATACCTTGACCCTTAGAACGTCTCTCTTGTTATGTGATGCTCAGGCTGATGGCAACCTCCACCAACCCGTCTATTCCTGGCATCTGTCTTCCTGGACTATTGGCCGCAGCTGAATCCGTTGGGGTTCGGTGAAGGTGTCAGATAGAAGACTCACATGGCATCACAATGTTGGGCTCACCACCTCTCCCATGTCCTTTAGGGAGTTCTGGGCTGTAATGAGCTGGGAAGCACCGGTGGGCTGCAGAAGGGCACACTTGTTACAGAAACAGGTGTCCTCTCTCAATATGTTGTCATGTGTTGGGGACAGAGCCTTTCTAGGTGACCAGGCTCCAGGAAGGGTGGGGTGCTCCTGTGAGGCAGTCTGAAGGCTGAGGGGCAGCATGGATGTTGTTTACCCTTTGCAGGAAAATGTGTATACCTTTTAGTTCAACTTCTGTTGAAAAATACTTTCTGATCCAAATACTATATTTGCAATCTTGATCCTCATAAGCAACCCGGAGGGGCAGAAAGGCCTTTTATTACCAGTTCCATTCCAAAGCGACGGTGAAGCTCAGTGAGGCCGCTGCATCGGCCAGGGGATGTGGGAGGTGCCATCCAGGTCTGCCCGTCTTCGCCCGCGGTGCTCTCCTCAACACACAGCCTCCATGGACGGCAGCCTTACTACCCCCCCCCCCCCCCCCAGGAAGCCTTAGTCCAAACGCTCTGGTTTTCAGTGCAAAACACCCTCTGGTTCCAAAAGGAGGTAATTTTGCAGGGACTTTGGCAAGGGTAACAGGGGTACGAGGCGAAAGCACTTTTTGCCAAATAACTTCCGAATGGCACAGCGACAAAGATGCTGCAGACAGCGTGGGGTGTGGGCCAAGGCGAAGAAAGACTGGTAGAAGGCCTGGTGCATCTGGAAGGAAGGCAGATGGAACATAAACCCGAGCACATGGACCCGACAGCCAGAAGCCCCCATGTGTGCAGTGCCCTCCACCAAGAGGGTGTGTATATTTTTCGGAGGTGCAGTTCCTGTGGGGGTCCAAGGGAAGTCCGTTTTGGGTGGTAAGACAGATAACACAGGTTAATCTCCTCACATCCCTCTCTGCTCTGCAACCCCCCACCCCCTGCACAGTGCATTTGCTGTTGAGCCATGTGCACAGAACTCAAGTCAATGAGACATGAGGGGAAATCTTCTAGAGGCTTCTGGGAAAAAAATGCCCTCACTGTTTCTTAATCGACAGTGACTGTGGACTCTTTTGGGTACATATGTGGTGCCTGCTGCTGCGTCGGCCACATCTAAGCTCTCACGGGGAGGCAGACACATAGGAGCAGAGCCTGTGGATTCAGGTGGCTCGGGCGGCACCCACCCTTCTCTGGGGCTCTCTCAAGCCGAGCCGGGTGGGTCAGGTTTCTGCTCCTTGCAGCCAATAGCATCCCAACTGTAATAACAGCTCTTGGCTGCATGATTCCTCCCGAGGAAAACCAGTGATGCTCGGCTATGCTTCCACACTTTCCCTTTCTCTGTCCTTCTTCAGATGCTCTACGCTTCCCTGGGGATAGTGCCTAGGCGCACACGGCGGTGAGCAGAAGCACAAGGCTCTTGTACTGAGGGGAAGGAAGGGCGGCTCCCTTACCTGAGATACTTCCTCAGGAATCACTTCCCTCCAGGACTCGGACACGCGGAGCTGAGGGTAGGCGTTGAACAGAGTCTCAATAACCATGGGAGCCGGGGCACAAGTCTTCAGCACCTGGTTGGAAGTGGTGGGAGACCAAGCTCACGTTGACTGGGTTTTGGGTCCAGGTAGGGGAAGGGCCAGCAGATACGGCGGTGTATTTGGGTCTTACTTCTGTCACCTCCTGGCCGTGGGACTGAGGACAGTGGGGCCATGGGAGTTAGTTCCCAAAAAGCACAAGGCAGCGCTCTGGGAGGGGGCCTGTCTTAGCACCATGATGGCTGCAGGTCCCAAGTCTGGGCTTAGGAATGGCTTGCTCATTCCTGTGTCCAGGAGCAGAGTCCCCACAGCTCCATGGGCTCTCCTGGTCTCTGCATTGCTGCTCAGAGCAAAGGGGAAAGTTTGGTCCAAGGATGGTGTTTGTAATTTCTTATCTCAACTTTCTAATATGTCAGGATAATGAGGGAGAAGAATTGCTTTGCTGTTGAATTTCCTCCCGGCTTGGCCTTTCTATTTTCTTTTCTTTCCCCACTGGCAAAGGATTCCTGTTTTCTTATTAGCAAGTTTTACAATTCAGGCTCATCAGTTTCATCATGAAGATGAGAACACTATTTGCTTTTTTTCAAAAATAAATTTCTTGTGATGGTGAATGTCAGTGAGCACAAAAGTAGACCCAATGGTATGATGACCTCCGTGTACCCACCATCAACCTGTGACCAGTCCTGTGCCATCCACACCCCCGTCACCTCCCCCAGGATTATTTTAAAGCCAGTGCAATGGGTCCTGTCATTTCATCTGTAAATATTTCAGTGGGACTCTTATAGGACACTTTAGGAGAAACACAACATCATTATAAGACCTGAGAAATTAACAAGTTTCTTAGCATCTTCTAATATATGGCCAGTGTTTAAATTCACAAATTTCTCTTAAATGCCATTATACGAAAAAAAATTGTTTGAATAAGAACTCAAGTAAAGGCCAACAGGGTTGAGACTGGTCAATGTATTATCAGATCTCTCATTTTTGTGTCATGTTACTTATTTGTTGAAGAAACTGGGTTATTTGTCCAGCAGAGTTTCTCAGTGTTAGGATTTTGCTCCTGGTATTCCTGTAGGGTTTTGGAACATGATGCTCTTTATCTACTTTTTATAAATTCATAGTTGGATTGGGAAGATTGATCAAATTCAGATTTGATTTTGGGGAGGGGCAGGGCAGCTTTATAGTCTTCTGTTTTTGAGGTTAAAGACTTACCAAGTGTTGTAAAATTAGTATTTCTTCATTGAGAAAACTGAGGTTAGGCAATTTTCTTAAGATCAGGCACCAAATATCCACAGCAGACAATTAACAGGCAGGCCCAACAGCTGAGCACGCTGGGGCTCTCTGAACAAAGTCAAATAGAAGACAGACCTAAATCACTCAGTATGGTTGCTCCATTCACAACTTGCTGAGTTCCCTTCAGATATGAAACCCCTTTTAAATATATTAAAACAAAACAGGAAATTAATTATCTCTGTGTTTAGGCATAAACACTATTGGCATTTTGTATATACTAATGTTTTACGCATTTAGACAAAAAATTAATATATACAGTAAAAGTGGACTAATATTTTGCCTATTATTTTGAAACTTGATTTTTGTCCACTCAAAATCAATTGTGAACAATTCAGAAATTACAAATGAGCATTTCAACATCATTTCAGGAGCCATATATTTTATGAATATATTATAACGTATTCAATGGAGTGACTAAGGTAAATGGATGTTATAAACAATGAACACTCTTGAATATAATTCTATCTCTTTCTGCCTCCAACAATTCTTATTTAGATAACAAGATAAATCTGTCCCCTTCTGACACGGAATTCCTGGAAGTAGAAATGTAGTGTCAAGGATTATGTACATTTTAAAGGTTTTAAAACATACTGTCAATTTTAAGTTTGTAAATGATCACAACTTTTTGAAGAAATGAGTATGAGAGTGTCTCTTTCTCCCCTACCCAAATCATCTCATTAATTATTTAAATTTGATAGATACAATATGGAATATTTACATTTTTGTTGACCATTTGTCTTCCTTTATAAATTGCTAAATTATGTCTTTTGCTGTTTTTCTATAGTATGTTCATTTTCTTTAGTGATTTGTAAATACACTTTATTAAGGTTATTTTTTAGTCAGCTAGTCATATTTTTTTTAGATTTTATTTATTTATTTGACGCTTAACAACTGAGCCACCCAGGCGCCCCACAGATAGTCATTTTTACAAATAACAGTATTTTCTCCTCTCAGTATAAATATTTCACATTTATTTTTCTTATCTTATTACACTGACCAGAGCTTTAAAGTTCAGTGTTAAAGATTTGTTTGTTTATGAGAGAGAGAGATATATCAAGCACATGTGTGTGCGGGGAGAGGGGCAGTGGGAGAGAATCTTTAAACAGACTCCCCACTGAGCTTGGAGCCCGGCCAGGGGCTCCATCTCACAACCCTGAGATCATGACCTGAGCCAAAACCAAGAGTCAGATGCTTAACCAAATGAACCACCCAGGTGCTCCTAAAGTTCAATGTTAAATAACAATACTGATAGCAGGCATCATCATCTTATTCCTAATTTTTTAGAAGATTTTATTTATTTATTTGACAGAAAGAGACACAGTGAGAGAGGAAATACAAGCAGGAGGAGTGGGAGAGGGAGAAGCAGGCTTCCGCGGAGCATGGAGCCCAAAGTGGGGGCCCGATCCCAGGACCCTGGGATCATGAACTGAGCTGAAGGCAGATGCTTAACAACTGAGCCACCCAGGCGCCCCAATTTGCTAAGATTTCTGTATTTAAGAACTAAATATGGTTTGTCATCTCACTTTTTTTAACCTACTTTTGTCAGGTTTTAATGTGACTTTATGCCAACTTAGTCAATTTAGAAAATTTCTATCTTTTTAACACCCTGGAAGATTTTAAAAGTACATACTTATTGGAATTAAGAAGGCACAACAGATCTTGCATTTAACTCTGTCTAAGCCTGGCCTTAAGCTGCAGGTAATATCAAATTATCATCACTTTCTCTTCCATGGTTATTGGTATACTTTGTTTTGATTTTTTCTTTTTTGAAAAAGATTTTATTTTTAAGTAATCTCTACACTCAACATGGGGCTTGAACTCACAACCCCAAGATCAAGAGTTGTATGCTCTACTGACTGAGCCAGCCAGGTGCCCCTTGATTTGTTCTTGAATCAATTTTGTTAATGTATATTTCCTGAAAAACAATCATTTTATTTTATTTATTTTTAAAAAAATTAATTCCAGTATAGTTAACATACAGTGTTATATTAGTTTCAGGTATACAGTATGGTGATTCAACAATTCTGTACTCAATGCTCATCATGATGAGTGCACCCTTAGTCCCCTTCACCTACTTCACCCAACCCTCCTCACTGCCCCTCTGGTAACCACCAGTTTGTTCTCTAGAGTTAAGAGTCTGGGTTTTGTTTTGTTTTGTTTTTTGTCTCTTTTCTTCTTTGTCCATTTGTCTTATTTCTTAAATCCACATATGAGTTAGATCATATGGTATTTGTCTTTCTCTGACTGATTTATTTCACTTAGCATTACACTCTCTAGCTCCATCCATGTTTTTGCAAATGGCAACAATCTTCATTTTAAAGAAATTTAGCATTGCATATGTATCCATCAGGGTTCTAATAGGAAATATATGACACGTTGATATAGGATCCTTCTGGAAGGAATTTATTTTTTATTGATTTTTGTTTTATTATTTTATTTTATTGATACAAGGGCTATTCAGCCAGGTGTGAGTATGGGAGAAGTCAAGGGACAGTGCACTAATGTGGAGCTGGTTTCACAGCTATTTCCACCTCTGGGCCTAAAGAGTGGAGAGTCAAGTGGGCTGTCTGGCAAGAGTAGTGATCTTGGGTTGGGGACACATAGCCAGCCTGAGGCAGAGAGGGGTCCAAGCGGAGACATCCTCTGACCTCACCCTCCTCTGGTTGTCTGCTGGGAGACTATACTGGTGAAACCCAGGAAGGCAGAAGGCCCAGAGCCTTGTCAATGTGTCCATGCAGGTGTAGAGCAAATCTGGATGGGAGATATCCCCACTATATCTAGAAATAAGCACACTTCTTCATTTGAAGTGAAATTATATATATATATATATATATTCACTATAATTGTATTTCCAATGTTCTTCCTTGTTTAATCTTGCTGGAATTTCACTAATTAGTTTTTTTTTCAAGGAATCCCCTATTGGCTTTTGGTGACCTGTTCTCTTTTAAAATATTCTAACTCATCGATTATTGTGTTTATTGTTGTTAATATTCCTTTGTCTCTTTCTGACTCCTTGGATTGACTGCTCAGTTAATTTAGTAACCTTTTCGGGGCACCTGGGTGGCTCAGTCATTAAGTGTCTGCCTTCAGCTCAGGTCATGACCCCAGGGTCCTGGGATCAAGCCCCGCATCGGGCTCCCTGCTCAGCGGGAAGCCTGCTTCTCCCTCTCCCACTCCCCCTGCTTGTGTTCCCTCTCTCACTGTGTCTCTCTCTGTCAAATAAATAAATAAAATCTTTAAAAAAAAATTTCGTAACCTTTTCTCCCCTTGAGTCATAATACAAGCAACTTCGAAAATGGTGTGGATTTTCCTTTGAACATAGGTATGGTTATAGCCCTAAGTTTTGAGGCACAGTGTTCTATCTTTCCTAAATATTCTGCGATTCTATACCCATTGACGCAGTAATTATTTGGGTGTTTGCCATGCAATTTTCAAAAGATTATTTTGTAAAAATTAGCTGTTTGCTATTAATCTCCTGGTGTATTGTATTACGGCTTTAAATGATGCCTGCTTTTGGAGTACCAAAAGTTGTACTCTGTTTGCAGGTTCAAAATTCAACATGCACTTGTCTCATTTACCATTTGAAGCTTCTACTTTGCCCACTTGATCTGTGAAAGACTGAGATATGAATTAAAAATCACCCAGAATTATTATTTTTTGTTAGTTTCTCCATTTTAACATAATGTTTCTTTGGCAGATAGGTTCCTAATGGTTATGTCTTCACTGTAGCCTGTATTTTTTAT